TTTTTTGTTTGTTGCTGCATCTGTGAAAGGTTCAGTAGCAAATATTTGATCTTTGTGACAGCTATTCTTCTCTCAAAATCTCAATTGTTTAATGTGGTGATCTGCCAAAAATACAATCATTAATACAATTAATACAATACAATTAATTAACTACAATCTAAATACAAACAAATCTTTGAAATACAATGCGTAATTATATCACAAAGTAATCAACTGGGAAAATGAGATGACCGGAATACTTACACTACTGCTGAGCAGTTCCATTTAGAACCAGGCAAAATATTTCATGATCGAAATGACTTTAGAAACATTATATCTTGTAATACCATATACAGAAATAAAAATTCTGCATAAAACTTGTAAATAATATATTCTTAAATGAACTACATACCTTTCTCTGCAATGATGTCAAGCCCTCCTCTCTGACACCCAGTACTTACAATCTTTTAATGTTAACTGAACAGGGAGGAGTCGGTGCAACAGAACCAAACTTTGCCAGAACATGTACAAGATGTGTATCAAACCTACGCATCCACTAGTATATTGATTTGACCATACAATTTTATTATGAGTCCATTTTTTTCCACTGGTTCCAAATGGAACTGCTTGGCATCAATGGGTTAATGTGTAATAGGTTCCAATGAATTGCATTTTTTTTTTTTGTACAGAGGCATCAAGTGTTGCAATACAATGTACATAGCTAGCAGCTTAGCTAATTCTTATAAGGCTATGAGTAGTCTTCAACTATTTGACTATTTGTTATATATTAATTGCAATATTACAATATACAATTTAAATGTCTTAGCTAGCTTATACATGGTGAGNCACTCCTAGCCCTGGGCTGTCTCATTATTAATCAATTAATTTTCACCTTTCACCTCCATGTACCACTGCTTATATTTAATACATTTTGCATGGTTCTTCCTTCATTTGTTGCTCTGAGTTTCTTTTGCTTGGCTTCATGTGCTGGTACTATACTGATACCTTTAAAGGGGCTGACCCCCAACAACTTCAAATGGGGTAATAAGGGAGAGATTTGAGCATTTTTTGTTAATAACTTCTTACCATGCATTTCATAAACAAGTTTGAGCTCATTTTAAAGTTCTCAGTGAGGGCTATAGTATGGCATCTCCAAAAAATTTCATATCTATTCATAAGGTGCCAGATGCAAAATAAAAGTCACAAATTACCCCTTGAAATTTGGTAAACCAGGACACTTGAAATAAACATCATTTTAAAACATTTCAAGCATGCAGATTGTACCTATCCATTACAAGCAGAACTCTGTAAGTCCTTTTTCTTTGTAGATGATGTAGGTAGATGCAGAATAAATCTCATTTCCTGCAATTTTTACCATTTTTCCTTTATTGATATGATATTACCATATCCATTCATTACTGTATTATTGAAGTGATATTACCGTTTCCATGAACATGCCATTGAGCATTTACAACGACCTTGTCCACTGCAAGCTTCATATCAGCAACCACATATTATTTCTTCTGTATCTGTAAGCATACAGGATGGCTTGTAATTTCACACCATTTTAATTGGGTTAAGTGAATTTACTATAAAAAAAGATCGTGAAAAACATACCTGAAAAAGAAAGGAATGTTTTAGTGACAACCATCATATTTTTTGGAGAAATTAATCATTTTAGGTTAATTACATTTAATTCTATGATGCCTGGTGCACAATTCTATGTATGACATTCTATGCACAATTTTGTATTGAATGACGATGCATTATTTTTCGTTAAGTGAATTTCTTTTGCTAAGCAAGGTACATGTAATAAAAATTTTTTGTTGTTAATTTATTTTTTGGTTAACTGGAGCCTTTGATAATCACGGTTCTACTATAAATGCATTTTTAGGGGTGTCCCATATTACGTTAGGGGGGTCCCATATTACTCTGGGGGGTGTCCCTTAGGACCCTTATTACCCCATCTTGCAAAAATGGCCACCATTTTTTGGAATGAGATAAAGTGTCGGAATAAAATCTTAGTGTCGGAATAAAGTGTCGTCCTTAAAGTGTCGGAATATGGTATGTTTACCCTAGTATGATGACATCATAATGATGTCACTATTTCAACCACTTACGCATTTGTGGAACTAACACAAACCTTAATAAAAAGGAAAAAGTTGAGAAGTGTCAGTATTACCCACGATGTTGGAATATGGTGCATTTACTGTCCCTACTCCATATTTGAACCAATTTCTTATGCATGATAATGTTGGTACCATGATAATTTAGTAACTTTACTGGCCAGAATTCGTCTCACAATGTGCCAAATTTAGTCACACAATAACACACAGCATCGGAATATAGGGATTTGGTAGGTTTGCATTCTGTCGGAATATACCGTGTTTACCCTATTTGTTTTTTGAGGTGTAGATTAAGAATCTGAAATCCGTTTTTGGCAGTCAGCATCGGAAATTTTTGATGGAACCTGTTCTTAACTGGACCTAACCTGCAAGGTTTTTGTTGATCGGCTAGGTGTTTTCAATGTTTGGAGTAGACTCCTGCGTCTCAAAATAATTTTCTCGAAATGAACTGGGACAGACAAAACGAGACAAGAAAATTCCGGGAAAAAATAACGGGACAGAGGGTAAATTATGTCCTGGAATAAACGTATGAACCGAGACAAGACTTCTGTCCTGGACTTTAAAACTTGTGTCCCAGTAAATTATGAACCGGTACGAGACAGACAGATTTGAAACGAGACATAACGAGACGAGACAAGATTTGTCTTAATTATTTAAGACAAAACAAGTTTTTTGATTATGATGCGAATTATTTTGAAAACATGGGCTGAAGAATGACAAGTTGTTCTTGTAATTGCCCATCCTGGCAGTGGCGACTGGGGAGGGGGGTGATAGGTCAGTTTTTCCAGGCACTCGGTACCACTGGTAGTTCTACGACCATCACTGGCTCGCAGACCCGCCAGAACCATTTGATTGCATTACACAACACCCTGGACAAGCCAGGAACTCATTTATCAACCAGAGTTGGATGAATGGCTGAGTTGACTATGAGCTGAGCTTCCTGGTAGAACTTGTCCTCAGTGGGACTCGAACCCGGGAGCTGGGTGCGAGAGACTGAGTCTCTCACCACTGCACCACCACAGCTCTGCACAGAATGACAAGTTAGCCCTCTATTGCTAATAGGGCCAAAGACAGTTACCAGTTAAATCAAGTTACTTGTAGATTTAACAAAATTTGTCAGACTAACTGACATGGCAGTTAATTAGTGGTCCGACAAACACCGCAAACTTGTCAATGTATGCATGGCTGAGTATCGAGTCAAAAATGTTACTCTTAAGTCTTAACTGAGGCTTCAATGGCACTTACGGGAACTGTACAAATGAGTCAAGTTTATTACGCGTTCGGAACAAGTTCAGGCGCTGTGGAGCGCATAGGGAGTAGGGACGCAGTGTCTAGATTAATCGGCCAATTAGTAGACAGTGGAGTGGAGTCCTGGCAAGCAGGGTTGGCAATGATTAAATCAAATTGATTAAATCATGTGATTAAATCACTTGATTTTTTTATAAAAAAATCATGATTTTTTTTATTTTTTTTTTATTTTTTTGAGCTGCCAATGCCGCATATTTACGTCTCTTGCTTTTGCCGGTCATTTTGCCGGTGAAGGTGTGTTTTACGATCGGTCCATAAAGAAGTGTTGATCGATTCAAAATGACATAAGAACAGGTTCTTTTGAATAACCTATGGATTGGCACCATGCCACGTGGCATGCATTGTCTCTCTTTGGATCTCAATATTTTCCCACTAGATGGCCAAGACCTTGTGTTTTTGCAGTATTTTGACACGCAAATGTATGACGTCACCACATAGTGGCAAAGCAGAGAGTTTTTTAGACTCTGCCTCAAGTTCATTTCTGAGTCCTATAAGTAGACAAGCAAAGCATCATGGATACCAGCATTATCATACATAAGAAATTGGTTTAAATCTTAAATGAGCCACTATGCAGAGTGTGCAATCAACGTCGCCAAGATACGAGTTTCCAGGTAACAACGTCGCCGGCATTACTTGATAGTTCTCGCCGTCGCCGCCAAAAGTCTTCAGGATACGTCGCCGAGTAATTTTTCAACAATGAAGCTGCTAAAAGTTCAAAGAATATATCTAAAATTTTGCCGATAATGCGTCGCCGTAGGTCTTTAAATCTTCGTTCACTCTCTGCACAGTGGTCTACTGTCTTGGGCAATTCTGTTTTGCCATTTTAAGACACCGATCAGCATTTGAACTTTTCTCTTAAATCTCTTCCACTAAATACTAATAAGTCCTGACTATTTTGACTGAAAAAAGTCCTGACTAAACCTGAAGGGTTAGTCCTGACTCCTGACTATTTTATTTAAAGCTGAGAACTTAAGTGCTGACTGCTGTGGGGACAAGTGACGGGCTGACGGCCATGGGTCCATGATGTTATCAGCATTTGCTTAGGGTAAACGCGGTATATTCCGTCATTGTGGGTAAAGGTAATTCCGTCACCTCTTTAGTTTTTCCTTTATATTAAGCTTTGTTTTAGTTCCATGCGTTTGTTGATGGCATAGTGGCAAAGCAGAGAGTTTTTTAGACTCTCCCTCAAGTTTATTTTTGAGTCCTATAAGTAGACCAGAAAAGTATCCTGGATACCAGCATTATCATACTTAAGAAATTGGTTTAAATCTTGAGTAAATGAGGAAATTCAAAATGAACTGATTCTAAAAAAGCTCTGGTTTGCCACTATGGTTGATGGTTGAAATGGTGACGTCATACATTTGCGTGTCAAACTACTGCCAAAACACTAGGTCTTGGCCACTATGCAGAGTGTGCAAGCAACGTCGCCAAGATACGAGTTTCCAGGTAACAACGTCGCCGGCATTACTCGATAGTTCTCGCCGTCGCCGCCAAAAGTCTTCAGGATACGTTGCCGAGTAATTTTTCAATAATGAAGCTGCTAAAAGTTCAAAGAATATATCCTCCACTCCCCAGGAACTACAGCAGTCAATATGGCTTCCGCATCGCAACCGATTCGACCATTTGAAGATTGTGCTGCAGCTGTACAGTCTCATCCGACAAACTGGAAAATCAAAATTTATCAATAAGTAAGATTTTCAAATTGTTTCAACAACATATTCACTTGAATTAAATAGTTCTTTAAAAAATCTCAACGCAATGCATCGTAGCGCAAAAAACTGCAGTTTCTACCGCTAAATGAAGACAAGTTTATTTTAATGGCCAAATGTCCACAAGCGATTCTGCTATCGATCTATTTCGCACCGTAAATCAAGGCTTAACATCACAAATGACGCGAAAAGTCTTCAAATCCAGAGTGAATCAAATCTAAAGCAAATCGACTCCTAATATAAAGCAAGTTGTAGCTCTCAGCCGGTCCATGATATGTTTCCCAAACCAATGATGAGGTACAAGAGGTGCAAGTCGTAATGAAAATCCCAGCTGACTAATCAGTATAATTTGGACGACAATAATCAGTAGGATCACAAGCAATTATTGAACTTCAAAGAAAAGTTACACTCTTAGCACATATAACTGGCCACTATTGAATACTGGCTTTAGGTTGGCATGCACAATTAATGTTATNTCACCTATGTTGTGCATAAGATTTGGGAGCATGAGCAGTAGATTTGTTAGATTCAGAAATAGCTCTCAGCATGGCGTACCCTTTGCCATGCTGTAACTCGTCATTAAATACATTACAACGCTTGATAAATGTGTTCAATAATTGTGCTGATCCTTTGAAGGTTTGCTGTTTAACAGAGCGCACATCTGTGACCACCAAGTTCATCCAGTGGCCAGCATCCCACGTGACAGGGACAGCAAAGGCACTCTTCGATGAGACCCCAACACGCTCAGCAAGTCGTGCAGCAAATCCCGACGAGACAACGTATTGTCCGTCACACGTTGCACCTGGAAAAGCATATACTGATTAACAAGTCCAGATGCTGACTATTCATTACAACAAAATAATTAATTATTCATCTATGAGGCATAATGAGGGTAAATGGTGACGGCAATAAATAATTATACTTTGTACTATATTTTCTTACCATTGTACCCATGATTCCAGACCAACCATTAAATTTCTGGGGATTTAACCCACAAGCTGCTAAGTTGAGTAAAATCTCTAAACTTCCAGCAAGCTTGCTACTAACCTGTTAATCGCGTCAAGTGATGGTCAGGGAGCCCAGTTTTTTCCAGAATCGTATTAATTATGCTATCAGCAAGCTCTACTGCACTTCCTCCGATGAGCTGAACCTGAGTTGTGTCATCAACACTGTTGACATCAACGGAATATACAGGAGGTGCGCCCACAGGTACTGCGATCCTTTTGCCGTTGAAATTCACAATCAAGAGGATTGCTTGATTGGTGTGTCTGTTGACAGTGGATTTATCGGCTGTAATGTAGAAATGGGGTGGTAGTCCCGTGCTGAGTAGTGGCTGCAGCAACATCTGATTGTTTCTTTGACAAATCACCACAGTCGCCGCACGAAGAATTTCAGGAAAGTTGTTCCTGGAAGAAATATTAATAAATTAATAAACCATTACAATTAATGGAAATGTTTTTTCTTTGAAAAGAATAATCATAATTTAAGTTAGGTAAAACATACTTCTTTTGCAATAATCTAAGGAGCTAACCTTGAATGGCCGATGTCTCCCACATCCACTTTGCATGCTTTCAATAGTGCAATGACACTCTCGTAGTGCAGGGCCGCGCCTTTCATTTTCAGAACATGGAGAGCTACCCGACAGAGAGTTTCAGTTACGGAAACCGAACGAGGCACTGACGAAGCTCCCTCTTCTTTGCCTTGCGTAGCTTTCCAGTGGAATGAATCCTGTCCGGAGTTCAAGTGGGTTACGAGACGACTTTTGAAGTTGTACCAACTTTGACCATCGCCATTTTTATATATTTCGATTTTAGCTTCGGGCAGCTTACATCCAACAGATAAACCACTTGTCGGAAGTTTGAACGATGTTGAATTTTTTGTTATAAGGACATCACGGGTGGCGTAATCGTGGCAAGCTGAGCATCTTATTATATGCTTATTTTGATGCTGGTGGAGAGTGAATAATTTTGTGGAAAGAACGTCATTTAGATTATTACAAGCATTCAATACACAAATTGAAGATAAATTATCCTTTGCGGTAGTAGGACCTCCTTGATCTTTTTTTTGTAAATGTTTCATAAGCATGCTTTCTAATCTCTCTAAGCATTCACCAATTTGTTCGAGTGTCCATTTGGATGTAGTAGGCTGCATCATTCGAGGAACTTCATTTTGTGGCTGGATACTGAGAAACCCATCAATCGACTTTTGAATTATTTGAGTGAAAGAAGAAGCAGCTGAGTTTCCTTGGAAGGAAGAACCTCTGCTGGCTGAAAGTAGCGAAGACGAGTCACATTCTTTAGGGCTATGCTCAGTAGAGGCACATACTTCGAAGTCCGGCTGAGCTACAGGGGAACATTCCACAAAGTCCGGCTGACCTACAGGGGTACGTTCAACGAAGTCCAGCTGACCTACAGGGGTATGTTCAACGAAGTCCGTATGAGCTACAGGGAAACATTCCACAAAGTCCGGCTGACCTACAGGGGTACGTTCCAAGAAATCCGGCTGACCTACAGGGGTACGTTCAACAAAATCCGTCTGAGCTACAGGGGAACATTCCACAAAGTCCGACTGACCTACAGGGGTACGTTCCAAGAAATCCGGCTGAGGATCGGAATATTTTTTCACGAAGTCTTTATGTGAAGGGGAGTCGCGTTGTACGAAATTTGGCTGAGAAGAAGATTTGCGTTTTGAGAAGTCAGGTTTAGAAGTAGAGGAAAGTATTTCCGTTGATAGCTGGGACACAGATGTGTCATTTTTAAGGTGAGGGTTAAATTTATTCTTTTGCTTAGATGACGAAGTTAATTTTTCAATTTTAATTTCAAGCTTTTTGACGTCTTCATGATCTCTACATCTGATGTGTTTTCCTTTGTCAAAGGTATCGTTGGGGTGATTTCTCTTTTGGTGCCGGTCTATCGTCGTGGGATACATGTCCACCAAAGAATAATTGCGGCAGCCGTTTTCTATGCAAAGTAAGCAAACAGCAGCCGTGCGCCGTTGGCTAATCTCAGATTTCCGCTTAGAAGAACTTGGTACAGACGAAGCGCTCTCTTGTCGTTGCTTCTTGAATAGGTTCTTCCATTCTTGAACTTGTGCCTTTGGTTCTTTCCCTGCAAATGAAATAAAACCATTAATCCGGGAACGGTTAATGCTCATCATAGTTAAGACGATTATCACAGTTAAAAACGATCATCACAGTTAAAAACGATCATGATAATTACGGACGATCATCATAGTTAAAAACGATCATCACAGTTAAAAACGATCATCACAGTTAAAAACGCTCATCACAGTTAAAACTGTCATCACAGTTAAAACGATCATCACAGTTAAAACTGTCATCACAGTTAAAACTGTCATCACAGTTAAAAC